CACTAACTCCTCTGCCTCTGAACTGAGCTGAGGAGACAGAACTTATGCTGATGTGAGGAGGAAAAAAAAAACCCACATCGCTGAAATAGTAGATACAATCCCTAAAGTTTTAGAAGCTCAGCCTCATATTTAACAGATGGAGGGTGTTAAGTGGAAATGAGAAGTGTGGTTGTTCCCTAGAGCGCCTTCAGGAGCTGACCACGGGAGGGCAGTACCTCCTCTTTCTGCTTTTCGTCCTGACTTCTGAGTTCCAGTAGCACCAGTTCCTGCCCCTCTTGGAAGAGATTGACGGTTGCTCTTGGTGTGTTAGGACAGGCTGCTCTCCGGCATCGCTCCGAGAGGCTGCTTTATGCCCGCATCCCTTACCTGTAATTCTCAGCTGACACCGCGTCTGCTCATGGGGCAAACATCCACTGACTGCGAAATACTTCCCAGACCAAGCACTTGCAGTATCCTCCAGGGAACAGCGGGACACTTTCACTGCCTTTTGGAGTCACTGTTGAATGTCTCCTAATTTCCCTGCTACAATTTTCATCAGCTAAAACCCCAGAGTTAGTTTTAACTTCAGAATTAATCCTTCCTGGAGGAGGTATTAAGTGGACTCTGGCCCTGGTCAGTGGGGTGTAATAATTGGCTTCTTGGAGATCAGCTGGGTGGTGTTAATTCTTGACCTACAATGTAAGTTGTTCTTGTTTTGGCCCTTGCCCCAGGAAAGGAAAGCAGAATGAATTTCCTTTCTGAGAAGTGAACTCATCTTTCTTAGCTAGGTTTCCAGGGAGGTTGGGGGCGGGGGGGGAAGGTGTTTGTTTTCTTTTACCGTATTTCAGACTGCTGTGCTGCACTGCCTTGACTTACCTTGGGCACTGGCAGGGCTGGCTGTGATCCTGGGCAAGGCACAGGAATTCCTCCTGAGGTTCTGGCCGCTCAAGAGAGAGGTAGAAGGGTTTTGTTCCGCTGTTACAGTGGGCACGTCTAGGCACACTCCGGCTCAAGAAGGTCATTTTGGTTCAGCTCACTCATCAGCAGGTCATGCCATGCACTGGAAATTCTGTGGCCAAAAGTGTACGTGGGACTGGCATCAGTTGAGCGATTTTTTAGCTTTATGGGGGTTTTCATTTGTCAGTCAAGTGCAATGCATAATGAGACCTCCTAAAAGCAAGGTTGGCAAAGGAGCAGGGAGATGGAGCCTGGCACTTGCTGGGACATATCTCTGTATATTTCGAGGTAGCACTCAAGCTAAATCATGTGCTCGTGCTATCTCCTGTGGTCCTCAGATTTATTTCAGAATAGGAAGCCAGAGTGAGGGAGCATCCTGGGGACCCAGGAGCATAATAGGGATGTTTTATGTTTTGGTTTGGTTTTTTTCCTTCTGGTTTTGTCTTGTTTAATTGTATGTGACTCTCCATACAGTGATGATATCCCTTTGTTACGCTGTGGATCCAGTGTGTGGATAAGTAAGACTGCTAGTGCTGCAGGAGGGCTCCCCAAGCTGGAGCTAAGCCGATCTCAAGAATTAGGTTAATTGTAAGCACTAAGTTGTTGCTGCCATCACCACCGTTTATGATGGAAGTGGAACCAGTTTGAGGAGGGGCAGCGACTTAAGTGGTGGCATTTTGTGGCACACTGAGAGCATTTTAATTTTTATCTTTTTCTTTTTTTAACTAGAAGAAAACTAGTTTGCTAAGTCTTTGCTTTGGATAAGCCAGAAAATGAACTAAGGGGATGTAGGCATTGGATAGAAACGTGGTTAAGGGATCTTCCTTTAAAAGCAGGAAGAAACAGATGCTTATTTTATACAGAGCTGGAAATGTTACAGCTGTGTTGCATAATGTTAGTCTTCTATCTAAAGACTCCAAGCAGCTTCTGATGACTTGATGTCTGTGTGGATAACAGATCATCAGAAGAGCAAAATTCTATTTTTAAGCATCAGTATCTCCTAAAGCTGCATAATCTGTGACAAAAAGATTCTTGTTGTGTAGAGTTCAAGTGGGCATTACTATTTTCAGATCTGAGATAAAGGCATACAGGTACAGTTTGTCACCAATTAGTGAAGCCTCGTTTGAGACATCAGTTTCCCTTCTTAAAACTGGACTGAAATAATTCCAGTTTTCCTTAAAAGGATAACAAAGCAATAATAAAAAGTGATTTCCATTAACTTCAAAGCTTTTTTGATCTAGCCCAACATGTTAGAAATTTAGAAACAGAGCAAGAAGGGAAAGATGGGGTAAGCTGCCTTCCCTTGACATTTAAAAACCCACTGTTGGTTACCTGCTGTGTGTAGGTGAAGTCCTGGAGTCAGACAGCTCTTGGGACTCAGCCGTTGCAGATGAGGCATCATGCTGTGGGCCTGCCAGCCCATTGAGCATAAGCACTGGTAGTAAACCTGATAGGCATTTCTCGGAGAGAAACTCTGCTGTGGTTTGGGTTTTTTATGTTCTTCACTGAAAGGAAGGATAAAATTACCCTTTTTGTCCATTGAAAACCATGTCGTTGATGTTGGAGCTTCCTGGATATTTTGAAACTAAACAAAACCTCCCATACTGTATTTTAGAATTGCACTTTAAGTACCTTTTTAAAGAAGATTCCTGTATTCTGGATGCTGAAGGGAAGGGAATATTATTTCCAGACCACTGAGAGAGAGGGGTTTTTTTTTGGTCAGTGTCTAATAGTCCTTATGCTGATGAGCAAGGTATTTCAAAGCAAAGACTACTTTTTGCTGCTTGTTATCTAATTTACAGGGATTTAATTTTATGTAATGTATTGTATATTTATACATCTGTAATTAATTGCACATTAGATAAGAAAGAGCATTAGCTTTGGAGTAACACCCACTGGTACTATACAATCAACTAATTCTGCCTATGCATACGCAGCTTGCTGGTACTCTTGCACAGCCTTAGTTTGTGTTAGTTCATACTGTGGTGGGTGTTTTTGTTGAAGAGGCAGCTGTTAAGCTGCTGCTCGGAGGAAGGACACGAAAGCTGCTCTGGAACGGTTTGCTGAATGTACTTTAGACTGGGTCTCTACCATGTGTGTGTTGCATCTCTCCATTGTGGTTAATAACC